GTTATCGTATGAAACTTCTAAATAAACTTTCTTTTTCTTGTAAAGAAGAAGAATATTAAAATAATGGGTTGAGGAACCAGTTATTGTCAATCTTTGGTTTCATTCATTTTCTTAGCCCTTACAGTTTACGTGATGTTTGAATGCAGTCCCTGTTTTATGGTGTATCTCCATATCGGGGAAGGTTATACTTCGGGTACTACTTCTTTTCCTTCATTTTTATAACAGTTAGATAGTAAAATATGATGAAAAGAGAAAAATGATAGAGTGGGGGAAGTGATTAAAGAGAAAGAAAAACAATTTATATCAAATAAAATCCGTTGATTTAATTTCATCCTACGATTACAAGAGGGTAAATGACAAACTTATTTGATGACAAATATAACTTCTCCCCTCCATATTATTGTATCTCCTTCTCTTTTTAATGATTATATTATATGAGGCGATTTCAATTATTTATAGACAAATTAACAGTAATCAAACCAGGAGAATAACAAGTTTGGATAGGGAAGAGGAATTCATTCCATTAATTGCAAGCAGATCACGTCAATGGCGGACCTGTTTGGTTGCAATTGTAGATATAAAGTTGGGAATTTTTTTTTCATGGGTAGGTAATTCAGGTCAAGTAAAAAATAAAAAAAGATTGAAAGAAAAAAGGTAAAGATAGGCTCAACTCAACCAACTCCTACAATTAAAAGCTTAAAAGTTTAAACTTTACCCTATTGCTCTGTCTTTTTCTTTTTTTTTTAAGCATAAACTTTATTAGTTCCAAATCTTAATAGACATCAACGATTCTTGAAATTCAATCTTCATTAAATGGAGGAGAATCGTAGGGAATTTTTTTAAGTTTTTGTGTGAAGTAAAAGTAACTTTGGATGAAATAGACATAAACAAAAATGTTTTTGATTGATTAACCCTACAACTATACTATATTTAATTTACAAATGTCTTTTTGTGGTGTTTATTTTTTTATTAATTATCATTATCTATTTCTTTATAACTTTGGTTTATTCGCCAAAGCTTTACTTTTGAAGTTGAAGCAAAATTGGATCATGATCTTTAAAAAAAAAATTCTGGGGCCGCCTCCGAACCCCCGCCCTAAGTGTGCAGACATAAAAAAAATTTCCTGGGTCCGCCACTGGATCACGTAGTGCTTGTCATTTTAATTTTGAAAAACATAATTAAAAGAAACAAACAGCATAAAGTATTTTCCTATATATATATATATGGGTAAATTGTGTGTCATTTTAAAAGATGTAAAGTTGTGTCATTTTAAGTGAGAGAAAGAGATAGATAAAGGAGGAGAGAGAGTGGACAAAAAAATAAAGGTTATGTCCACCTCTTTGTGAGAGTGAAAGGATGTAAGTTGTGTCATTTAAAAGGACAAACGTATTTCCCTATATATATATATATATATATATATATATATATATATATATATATATATATATATATATATATATATATATATATACATGGGTAAAGGATTTCTCCAGTCAATGGAGATCAATTATCTCCAGTGAGCCCAAAATGACGTCGTTTTGGGACGAAAATCAAGATATTTTTGTAATTTTAATATATTGCAGGGTTATATTAGTCTTTTTAATTATTTTTTTAATCTTATAATCCAAAATGACATCGTTTTGACCTCACTGGAGATAATTTTATCTCCGGTGACTGGAGAAATACTTTTCCCTATATATATATAGGTAAAATCATTTTTGCAGCCGCTCTACATACAACATCGATAGGTGTATGGTTATGATTCCCCTCATTTAATGCTTTCATCCTTTGTATGGTTATGATTCCCTTTATTTAATGTTTTCAAGTATATATATGGCAAGTATTTGATTGTTAAACATACAACAGCTGCAGAAATGTAAACCCATATATACATAGGGTAAAGGATCTCTCCAGTCAATAGAGATAAGTTATCTCCAATGAGCCCAAAACGACGTCGTTTTGAGGCGGAAATCAAGGTATTTTTGTAATTCTAATATATTGCAGGCTTATATTAGTCTTTATCATTGTAATTTTTTTTTTTATAACATAATTTTTTAATCTTATAATACAAAACGACGTCGTTTTGAGCTCACTGCAGATAACTTTATCTCCAGTGACTGGAGAAATACTTTTCTTATATATATATATATATATATATATATATATATATATATATATAGGGCTTATCGTTTCTCAAGCTGCTTGAGATAACTTTATCTCCGGCTACTAAATCATAACCGTACAAAGATAGATCAATAGTGATAAATGAAGAGAGAGAAAAAGAAAATCATAATCATTCACAGGTGGATCAATTAATATAAGGAAATAAATAAACAAAACGACGTAGTTTTGGGGTTGCTTGAGATAAACTTATCTCAAGTTGCCAGAGAAATATTTTTTTCACACACACACACATATATATATATATACATATATATGAGATTTATTATTCTTATGTTACATAAGAAATAATTTATCTACCCAATGGGTGCAGCTCAGTTGGTAACTTGGCGCTGAGTTAGTGGGGTTGGATATGTGTTCGATTCCCGCTGAATGCATTCTTAGGGAGGGGGCTGAACCTTTACCCATCACTGTTCCCCCGCACTCCGGATTAGTCCCATAGCCGGCTCAAAGAGTCGAAGCTCGTGGGGATACCGGAGGGAGCCAACTCGTCTCAAAGAGATAATTAGGGTTGGGTAACTCAAAAAAAAAAGAAATAATTTATCTTCTACACACAAATTTAAGATGGGTCCCACTTTACTTTCTATCTCTCTCCTTCCCTAAAAGTGGACTCCACCTGCACAAATGAGTCTCTCTTGAATTGCAAGAGAAAACCATTACCCTATATATATATGGTTAAATTAATTCTGCAGCCGCTTTACATATAGCAATGACAAGTGTATGGTTATGATTCCTCATATTTAATGCTTTTATCTTTTGTATGGCTATGATTCCCCGCATTTAATGCTTTCACGTATATATATGGCAAATGTTTGACTGTTGCACGTGAAGCAGCTGCAAAAATGTAAACCTCTATATATATATATATATATATATATATATATATATATATATATATATATATATATATATATATATATATATATATATATATATATATATATATATATATATATATATATATATATATATATATATATATATATATATATATATATAAATGCATTTGTCATGTTACATGACAAATGAATAGTTGTTATGTTAAGAAAAAGACAAATTATATAATATTAAAAAAGTGAGAGGACACATTATTCGATGAATTTATCTTGTCTTTTTGTTAACATAACAACTATTCATTTGTCATGTAACATGACAAATGCATTTCCCTATATATATTGTAAAGAACCTTGGGATACACCACCCCAAAAGCTAGCTAAAAGGGTGGGAGTGCCCAAGGCCTTATAAACTCCACATTAGTTGCTCATACAACCAATGTGGGACTATATATCTCCACATATATATAGGTAGGATCCTTTGACATCGGTGTCAAATTTGAAGTTTGACACCTCATCTGAGAGCCGTTAGATAAAAAAGATCAATGGCATTACATGCTTACAAATCAGAATCGTTGATCTTTTTTGATCTAACAACCCTCAGATGAGGTGTCAAACTTCAAATTTGACACCGGTGTCAAAGGATCCTACCTCATATATATATATATATATATATATATATATATATATGAGATTAATTTTCTTATGTTACACACAAAATACATGAGTGGGCCCATAAAAAGTGAGAAGAGAAAAAATAAAGATGGATCCCACGTTTTAATTGTGAGTGTAACATGAGAAAATTTTCTCATGTAAAATGAAAAAATTATTTCTCATATATATATATATATATATATATAAAGATTCCCAATAACATTTTATCTCCATACTTTCTTATTTATGGGGCGCCAAAAATCTTCATACTTTCTTTTTCAATAAGTAAAAATATTAGTGTATTTAACAATATTTTAATATTATTCTTCCTTGCGGTTACAAAACGATAACACTCAAATAATAAAACTTTTCTATTAGGGAAAAGTGTTTGTCATTTTAAATGATATAACTTGTGTCATTTCACTTTCACAAAGAAGTGGAACCCACATTTTTATTTTTTTTGTCCACTCCCCCCATAATCTATCTCTTTCTCACACTTAAAATGATACAAATTTACATCCTTTAAAATGATACACACTTTTTCCTTTTCTATTATATTTTCATAAATCTCACAATCGTTATTTTTCTCTCATTGTCGCTCCCAAGGATGAAGGCTTCCTTTCCTCTCGTTTCTTAATTTATAACACCTTGTGATGAGTTCTGAATATATTAAAAAAATGCAGTGTTTTACTGAAATGAAGGCCTTCACTCTTCAGCTACCGTGTTCTCCGTTGTGACTTCGGCAAGTGCACCGGTCATATAAGTAATATAGTGAAACGAGTGAGGTTATCGTTCCCACGAGAATTGAGTTATCAAGCAATAACTTATTTGTTGGATTGATCATGAAAGTTTTTGAGAAAATGATTTTGAATTAATAACACAGAATTTTAAAAACAATATTTTTGATTTTCAAGATTGAAAACTAAGAACGATAATCAAGAACGAAATAACGAGTTGAAATCTAATATGCAAGACCATAGCTAGGGATTCGATTTTTCCAATGTTTTTGTTAATTATCTATTTTTTGGACTACAACGTATTTTTTATTATGTTTATCTCTTAGTGTTTCAGTTATTGTTCTAGTCAATAAGTGGTTCTTACATTTTAGGATCACGTTAGGTTGTTATCCAATGTTGCTGAAATCTTGGTAATAAATAGTTTTTCTGTTTCATTTGAACATTTTAAATGTAATTGTTGCTAATGAATAAAATATTCCCTTCTTCAATTAATTTTCAACGTATCTACTCTTGCTCCTATATTTTTTTATTGTTTTGTTCTGCCATAAAACTAACAAATTGGTATCAGAGCTTATTTCTTACGGGACCTGTGAAAATGGAAGCTGAAGCAAGTTTTTCACAAGTTGCTCCACCTGTCTTTGATGGAGAGAACTATGATATTTGGGCAGTAAGAATGGAGTCTTACCTGGAGGCTTTAGATCTTTGGGAAGCTGAGGAAGAGGATTATGAAGTTCCTCCACTGCCGTACAATCCTACCATGATATAGATAAAAAGTGACAAGGAGAGAAAAACCAAGAAGGTAAAGGCAAAAACATGTCTCTTTGCTGGTGTTTCAGCAACAGTCTTCACAAGGATCATGACTCTAAAATCAGCAAAGGAAATTTGGGATTATCTAAAGGAAGAATATGCAGGAGATGAAAGGATACGAAGCATGCACGTGCTTAATTTAATGAGGGAATTCAAGTTACAGAAAATGAAAGAGTCTGAGACAATCAAAGAATACTCAGACAGATTGCTTGGCATTGCTAATAAGGTAAGGTTATTGGGCACTGCATTTGTTGATTCCAGAATCGTTGAAAAAATTCTGGTTATAGTGCTTAAGATATATGAAGCATCAATAACCACCTTGGAGAACACAAAAGATCTGTCCAAGATCACTTTGGCAGGAGTGTTACATGCCTTGCAGGCCTAGGAGCAACGGAGACTTATGAGACAAGATCATGTGATTGAGGGTGCTTTACCAGCCAAGCATCATGAAGTTGGAAGTACTGCAAACAACCAAAGCAATGGCAAGGGTAAAAAGTAAAATTATCCACCTTGTCACCACTGCGGCAAAATGGGTCACCCGTCATTCAGATGTTGGAGAAGACCAGATGCAAAGTGCAGAAACTACAATCAGCTTGGACATGAAGCTATCATCTGCAAAAGCAAAATCCAACAACATGAAGTCAATGCCTAGGTCGTTGAGCAAGACGAAGAAAATCAGATATTTGTGGCAACATGTTTTTCAACTAGGAGTAGTTCAGAATGCTGGTTGATTGACAGTGGTTGTACAAACCACATGGCATATGACAGAACTCTCTTCAAGGATTTGAAGCCCACTAAAGTCTCAAAAGTTAGCATTGGGAATGATGACTATATTTCTGCAAAAGTAAAAGGAACCATCCTATTTTCAACGAGTTCAAGAACAAAGGTAATCTCAGATGTTCTTTATGTACCCGAGATTGACCAAAATTTGCTTAGTGTAGGCCAATTGATAGAGAAAGGATTTAAAGTATCCTTTGAAAATAAGCGCTGCCTTATCTTTGATACTACTAGTTGGGAGATTCTAAGGGTTAAAATAAAAGGTAAAAGCTTTTCCTTTGATCAAATCGGGAGGAACAAACAATCTATTTTACTCAAGTTAATCCCACAGAACTCTGGCACGAGACTTGGTCATTGTCATATTCAAAGAATGCTGAACATGAAGAAAAAAGATATGAAAAGAGGTCTGCCAGTACTTTCTGAACATTTTCCAAATTGCAATGCTTGTCAGTTTGGTAAACAAAACAGAGTGCCATTTCCAAAATCAGCCTGGAGAGCCTCTCAAAAGCTGCAGCTAATTCATACTGATGTGGCAGGACCTCAAAGAACTCCATCATTACAAGGTAGTCTTTACTTTATTCTTTTCATAGATGATTATACAAGAATGTGCAGGATTTTTTTCTTGAAATTCAAGCATGAAGTAGCTGGAGTATTTATGAAGTTCAAGAAGATGGTAGAAACTCAAAGTGGTTGTAAGATTCGATGTATAAGATCCGATAATGGGAAGGAGTATACCTCAGTAATATTTGATTTATTTTGTGAAGAAGCTGGCATTCAACATCAACTCACAACTCCATACACTTCAGAGAAAAATGGAGTTAGTGAAAGGAGAAATAGATCGATAATGGAGATGGCTAGATGTATGCTGCATGAGAAGGGTTTGCCAAAACAATTTTGGGCAAAAGCAAACAACACAACAGTCTTTCTTCAAAATCAACTTCCAACCAAGGCCTTGAAAGATAAAACTCCTTTTAAGGTTTGGTCTGGATATAAGCCTTCACTTACCTTCTTTAAAGTGTTTGGTTGTATTTGTTTTGTACATGTTCCAAAGGTTAAACGTTACAAACTTGACAAGAAGGCAATTTCGGGCATTTTTGTGGGCTATAGTTCAATTTCAAAAGCCTACAAAGTGTATCATCCTCAAACCGGAAAGATAAATGTCACTAGAGATGTGCATTTCAATGAAGATCAGCAATGGGATTGGAAGGATCCACAAAAGAAAATTGGATCCTTCAACACCAGTGAAGATAATTATCCCGAAAAGCAAACAACAGAGTTGTGTCATAGTGAACTAGAAGATGACCTTTCAATTTGAGGCACAAGGTTGCTGTCAGACATCTATCAAAGATGTAACATAGCAATATGTGAACCTGCTAGTTGTGAGGAAGCGCTATAAGACCCAAAATGGAAGGATGCAATGGAGGAGGAGATGTCAATGATTCAGAAAAATAAAACATGGGAGTTGGTTGACAAGCATAAAGATAGAAAAGTCACTGGAGTTAAATGGATTTTCAGGACAAAGCTTAATGTAGATTGCTCAGTCAAAAAATACAAGGCCAGACTTGTAGTTAAAAGGTATGCACAAATTTTTGGTGTTGATTATTCTGACACTTTTCTCCCGTGTCCAGATTAGATACAATCAGATTGATGTTGTTGGTTTCTACTCAAAAGGGCTGGAAAGTATTCTAATTAGATGTCAAATCAGCCTTTCTAAATGGAGTTTTACAAAAAGAAATATATGTGAAGCAGCCAGAGGGATTTGTAAAGGAAGGGAATAAAATAAAGTCTATATACTCAAAAAGGCTCTCTATGGCCTAAAACAATCACCAAGGGCTTGGTACAGCAGGATAAATGATCACCTATTGAGCATAAGCTTTGTAAAAAGCTTATCTGAGTCCACTCTTTATGTGAAGCATAAGGGAAATAATCTTCTCATAGTTTCCCTATATGTTGATGATCTATTAGTGACTGGAGATGATATAAGGCTGGTTGAGGAGTTCAAACAAGATATCATGTAAGCTTTTGAAATGACAGATCTTGGTCTTATGACTTATTTTCTAGGAATTGAGATCAAACAAAGTGAGAATAATGTGTTCATCTGCCAGAAAAAATATGCAAAGGAAATATTGAAGAAATTTCTAATGGAGGAGAGCAAAGCAGTTAGCACTCCAATGAATCAAAAGCAGAAGCTGAGCAAGGAAGATGGTACTGAAAAAGTTGATGAATGATATTATAGGAGCTTGATTGGTTTTTTAATGTATCTCACAGCAACAAGGCCAGACATTCTATTTGTTGTAAGTCTCCTATCTCGATTCATGCATTGTGCTAGTGAAATGCATTTAAGAGCAGCAAAAAGAGTACTGAGGTATATTAAAGGCACAGTTGATTATGGTGTCAAATTTGAGAAATGTCAAGAATTCAAGTTGTATGGATTTTCTGATAGTGACTGGGCTGGATCCATTAATGACATGAAGAGTACTTCAGGATATTGTTACAGTCTAGTTCAGGAATTTTCTCATGGTGCACAAAGAAGCAGGAAATTATAGCACAATCCACTGCAAAAGCTGAATTCATAGCAGCAACTGCTGCTGTAAATCAAGTTTTGTGGTTAAAAAAGGTTCTATGTGATTTACGTATGCAGCAGAATTATAACTCAAAAATTTTCATTGACAACCAGGCAGCAATTACAATTTCAAAGAACCCAGTGTGTCATGGAAGACTAAACATTTTAACATCAAGCTCTACTTCTTAAGAGAGATGCAACAAAATGGAGAAGTGACTTTAGTCTATTGCAAGTCAGAAGATCAACTAGCAGATTTGTTTACAAAGCCACTTCCTCTTAGCAAGTTTGAGTTTTTAAGGAAGAAGATTGGAGTTTGCAGATCCTAAAGCAAGATGTAGTGTTAATTATCTGCTTTTTGGACTGTGACATATTTTTTATTATGTTTATCTTTTAGTGTTTCAGTTATTGTTCTAGTCAATAAGTGGTTCCTACATTTTAGGATCAAGTTAGGTTGTTATCCAATGTTGCTGAAATCTTGGTAACAAATAGTTTTTCTGTTTCATTTGAATATTATAAATGTAATTGTTGCTGATGAATAAAATATTCCCTTCTTCAATTAATTTTCAACGTATCTACTGTTGCTCCTCTGTTTTTTTTATTATTTTGTTCTGCCAAAAAACTAACAGTTTTCTTAACAAGTTTATCCTTTTATGCAATCAATTTTTGACATTAGATTATTGTCGATTCTTTCTAAAATGATTAAACTCCTCAATTCTTAGTGATTTAATCCTTTACTTTTTCCAAAACCTTAATATAATAGCCCTAGCCTAATTAATTAGTAAATTACATGTAATTAAATAATTAAGCATGTATTAGTGAGTAAAATTAAGTATAAGACTTAATTAAATGAATTGGAGTCACTTTGGAGGTAAAAAGTGTACTCAGTGAAAATTAAGGGGTATTAATGGGTGCAGGCAAAAGTACCCAAAATATAAAAATAAAACTAAAAATATTTCTAGAAAAATATTCCAGACTTTTGGGTAAAGTTTGGTAATTAATGGAGTTGAATAGATAGATTGACCCGTACCCACTTGATTTCCACTTAACTATGTTAAGTGACTAACCTATTAAAAGAAACCAAAAAACCCCTCATTTCCCGCCGAGCCAGAAAGAGAAGAAGAAGAAAAAGAGAAAGGGAAGAGAAGTGGGAGGAGAAAACCTTGGGTGAGTTATTCTCAACCATTTTCCTTGATTCAAAAGCCTAAAGCACTTAGAATCTCGCTCTCATTCATAATCCTAGCTTGATTCTTAGTGGGGAGTATTGTGGTGTGGGATTTCTTTCCCCAAAGTTTTGACCCATATGGAAAGTTGAGAGATATATTGGCGTCTACCTCCATAGAAGCTTGAGGAACGCTCATTGCATTGTTGTGTGATCATTGGTGGTAAGTTCCACTCTCTTTCACACAAAATCCCTTGATTTTGCATGAGTTAGGATTTGGATGAATAGTGTTTTGGGTTTGTGATAGTGTGAGTAAATTAGCTATGTTCTAGGAAGAATAGAGCTTAATGTATGTTATGAAAGATGTTAGTAATGACATTTAATCGGTGAAAATGAGCTTAGGTAGTCATTGATTAATACTTTGAGAATTGCAAAAATGTCATGCTTGGAATTGTGGAGATTCTTGCATTGTTGAACCATTGCTTGATTGGTTATTGATTGTATCCTTGTGTTGTCTAGGATTGAGGCAATTGGACCAACCTTAATTGACCAACCGTTGGAGCAAGCAATGGAGCTTGATTAGCTCCTTGGAATAGGTAAGCTCATGCTAAGGTATAATGTAGAGTTGTTGTGGTATTAATGGATATATGTAAATATTCATTGGATTGCATGATTGATGCTATGGCACCTTGGTGTAGGTGTGTAACTTGTAAGCTATAGTTTGAAACCAAAGTTTATTGGTTGCTGAACCTGTTGGTGAAGATCAAAGGTTGACTGAAGCTTTGAGGTAAGCCTTCGAACCTTGGGTGTAATTCCCTTGATTGTTCCACAAAGCCCTGAATGGGTAGTGGTTGTGATAGTGTATATAAATGCAATGAAATAGTTT